TTACTCAGATTTGCAGTAAAAGGGTAAGATACAGTTGTCTAAGTCAGTTCAGACTGCTATAACAAATTATCATAAACTGGGTGGCTAAGCAACAAACATGTATTTCTCACAATCCTGGGGCCAGGAAGTCCAAGATGAAGGCCTGGCATGCCTAGTGTCTGGTGAGTGGACTCCTCCTGGTTTGCAGATGGCCATCTGTTCATTGTATCCCCACATAGCAGAGAAGAGAAGCAAGTTCTCTCCATTACTCTTCTTAGAAAGGTTCTAATCCTTTTATGAGGCTTCATCTTCACAATCTAAAGCTCCCAGAAGCCCCATCTCCAAAAGCTGTCACCTTGGGAGTTAGGGTTTCAACATATTAATTCATTCAGTCCATAGCAACAGCCTAACATATGGTAAAAATAAGAGGAGAATTTACTGTCATCTAACAAAATAATGGAAAGAAAATCACAAATGATGGGAGATCAAAGTGGAGATATAAGACAAACACCCTCTTAAAATCTATAACCATTTCCCATTCTGTAAACATAAACAAAATCCTTCTACTTTTTATCCTGTAATTGTTTTAACTTTAAGAATCATTTAGGGTATAGTTTGAGGCATTTATTATATGGTGAGACCTAAAAATATTGCAACTGGGTCAAGGTTTCTAAGTGATTGGTTTCTGGTTAAGTCCTCAAGATAAGTGTTTCAGTTACTTTTGCTGTGTAAAAAATAAACTTCAAACTTAGAGGCTTAAACCAACCATATTATATGCTCACAGATCTTATAGATCAGTAATTTGGAGAGGGCACAGAAAGGATGACTTGCCTCTTTCCAGGATATCTTGGGCCACAGCTGGAAAAACACGACGATCAGGGGGACTTAATGGTTGATAACTAGAATCATCTGAAGGTTTGTTTACTTGTATGTCTGGTGCCTGGGCTTGGATGGCTTAAAACTGGCGCTATTAAACACAGTATCTACATGTGGCCTGTCTTTATGGCTTGGCCCCCTTTCAACATAATGTCCTCAGGATACTTACATGGTGACTCAAGGCTCCAGGCACAACTGTTCCATCAGATGAGGCAGAAGCTGCACTGCAATTTATGACCACCTCAAAAGGCACATAGCATCTCTTCCATATACTCCACTGGTCAAAGTGGTCAGAAGCCCACCTAGATTCAAGGGGAGAGAACATAAACCTACTACTTAATAGAGGATGGCAAGGTCATACTGTAGAGAA